CATAGATCAAGATCATTCAAGATTTCTTGGAAGATGTAACCTCATAAATCACCCACTTCAGTCACTCTAAGATTACGAACATAAGCAGAGGCATAATACAGGGCAACTTTTACTTGCCAAAAGTGTTTGGCAGACAGACAACACAGAATGTGGGTCAAAGGACCACTCTGTGAATGGTGAGGCCCTCTACATGCTCCTGTTTCTGGATAACGTTGTGTTAATTTCATTAAGCCCCATGACATTACATAGCATCCTGGAGACATCTGTAAGGACTCAAAGGAGTTTGGCCTGTCCACCCACAAGGAAGAGGGAGAGAAAGAGGACCTGGGGGAGGGAGAGGGAGAAAGACAGGAAGAAAGAAGAATTGATTCCTTTGTGAAGTAGAATCCTCTCTGAACTTTAGTGTTCATATATAAAGTAGGGCCCATCTAACAGGAATACAGTGATAATCAAATTAGCATATGTAAAGTGATTTGTAAACAACAATATTATCATTATCATTATTGTTATTGTTAACTGAGTTACCTTGGGCAAGTTATAACTCTCCCCTTTTCTGGGTCAATTCCTTCATCTGTACAATGAAAGGATTAGAATCTAATAATTGGATGCTCCCTAAAGTCCCTTATGACTTTAGATGCTCAGATCCTCTATCTTCTAGGTAGATCAACAGATAGCTAGTATCATCTTTTTCCCTCCTGTATGACTGACCAGGAGGACACATTACTTTTCCTAACCCCTGGGGGCATAGGCCATGGCTCATATTTTTCTCCTACAGGTCCATAGCTTTATTCTTCTTTTGTTCTCCCTCTTTCTTTCTTCTTGTTACCCCAAGAATAAGCATTCTTGAATTGGCACTTGGCTTTGTAATTTGGTAAGAAATAACCCAAAACAATCTCTTTAGCATTGAAAGTGATATTCTTAATATATGTTATTATTTTGAGTTTTTTCTTCTGCATCTGTGATTTTATTAGCACAGAGAATTCCTAGAGAAGAAATACCCTGTACTAATACAGATTGGCAACTATTCTGCAACTAAAAGTCTAAGAATGTTGCCTGAAGGAATTGAGGAATTAGATGACTTATCCACAGTCACAAAGTTTTGTTTATCAGCAGTGAGACTTGAATTCATATCTTCTTGACTCCAAATTGGGAGAAAGTGGTGGTGTCTATATTCACAATACCAAACTACCATCTTTTCAGAAGGTTCTTTTTTTTTTTTGAGTTATGTGTTAGTATTGAGCTTCCTTAAGGTCCTAATATGCTTGCTAACTATATCGTCCATTATGTGCTCCTATCTTTTCTGGAGTTCTCTGTGTATGTGTGTGTATGTTTGTGTGTGTGTGTGTGTGTGAAATTAAAACTTAGTACAACATAATTTTCCATTGGCCAACTACAATAGATCCCACCAGTTAATATCTGGGAAGGGGAGTTAAAATGAACTTTCCCCTAGCATTATACATAACTGTGGAGTAAGAAAAACGGGAAAAAAGCTCCTTTTCTTTAAATAAGGAAATTGAAATCTGAAGGGAGAAATGAGGAGGCCAAGAGGGAATGTATTAAAGAAGGCAAAAAAAAAAAAAACAACCAATGGCAGAAGACAACTGATCCAGGACAAGAAGCCCATTCAGTTTAATTCAAAACTGAAAACCATTCAGGATGTTCTTCTCTTTGTTAAGTTTGAAATGTGTTCCTTCAATTGATATATGCTTCTTTGGCAACATTATGTACAGTCACTTGGCTGCCAGGGGAAGTGCTTAAGTTATTTTTTTGGCCACTGTGACAATTCCAGGGTCAAGTCTGGATTTCCTGATTGTGATTTCTTTACTTTGATGAATATAATATTGTTTTAAGTTATCCCCCAAAACAAAACAAAACAATGACAAAAAGCAAGCCCTGGAAACAAAGTGAACATATAAAATGTTTCCAAAGTCTTAGCTTTAAAGCTTAAAATCACACTAAGACATTTGGGACATCTTATAGAAGAGTGAAGCGGTCTAGAGGTTTGGGGTGCTGGAACCCCAAGATCGCGATGCCGGGCCCTGCCTGAAAGAATTCAACTCAAATCTTCTTCCAGCCAGAGGAAAAGTTTATTAGTGATAAATCACATAGGCCAGGTAACGCCTGTGAGGATGAGCAGGCACAAGAAAGTCATAGCCTTTTGGGCTTGAGATTCTCAGCCTCTGAATGGGGGCCAGGGTAGATCTTATATACTAAAGTGATTTTGGGGGACCAGGGAAGGGTCTGGGAAAATGGTCTAGGAAAAGGGTCTGGGTGAGAATTCTGATTGGAATGTCTAAGAGATTGGATAGACAATGGGAATAGAAAGGCATCTGAATGAGATCAAAAAGGTGGGGTTAGGGCTTTCAAAGGGAAATAAGGGGAGCTGACAAGGGGAGTGGATAAGGAACCTAAAATGGGAGCCAGATTCCTTTTTAGGGCAAGGTGCAAAGGCACATCTGAATAAGATTAAAAGGTAGGCTAAGGCTTTCAAAGGGAAATGAGGGGCTGGGGCCTATAGACAAATGGGAGCCAGATTCCCTTTGGGGCCAGCTTGGGCCATACCCCATCAGGAGAAGTAAGCATAGTGGAAGTGAAAGAACCTACTCTTATTCCTGGCTTTGCCATTTACTAAATGTTTGACCTTGAGTGAATGAATCATGGATGGAACCTCTCTGGCCCTCAATTTCCTCAAATATAGGAAGAGCTCTCAATCTATAGCCCCATGACCTTTGCTCTCAGTGTCTTGGGACATCTTACCCCTGCCCTTCAGTTTAAAAGAGCTTTCAAAGCAAAGGACATTCTTTCACTCCATCATTGAAATTTCCATTTATTAATAAGTGGTGCGGCATTTCTTTATTTGATTGTTCATTTTAAGACAGAACATAAAAAATCAGGTAAGAAGTATCATTTGCATAATATAGATGGAAATCAACATATTAAAGTTGTTCAAATATCGGACAGTGCCAGAATATAAATTAGACATACAGTTTAAAAATTACAGGAAATCATATTAGAAAGAGCACTAAAGGCCACTTGTAGAAAAATTGTGTTCCCTTGTAAGCCAGAATGTGAAAAAAGCATAACCTTTGTAGCTCGGAGACAACTTCAGGGAGCAAGGCACCAGAATTCTATGCCATAAAAGGAAAAAAAATAAAGTAACTCTCCCCAAAGGAAAAACAATAGGTTTGTCCTTCAGAGATTCAAAATAGATCATTCTCTTGCTATTTGAAGTCATTTTGCTACATCAGGAAGAAAAAAAGAAAATAAAACAGAAATATCCAGCCCATTCCAACCCATTCCATAGTTGCCATGGATGGTCTGCCAGGTCATGTCCTAACAATGCATACATTTTTCTCACTCAGGCCCTCTAAGTGATTCAATTAATAACATAAACAACTTATTTTCAATATTTATTCCACATGTGCTCATCTCTATACAAGTTATAGAATGGGGGAATATAAAGTTCTTGAGGCTAAAGAGTCTTTCTTTTTTTCTTGGCCTTTGGATATATTGGAAATTGAATAAATGCTTTTTGAGTTGAATTGGAATTAATTGAAACCAGACCAGAATATAAAGTTGAGAAAGGGCATTGGGACTGAAGGGTCACTATTTTACAAAACCAGATTTTCTTTTCTTTCTCTTGCTCCTTGATGCTAGCATGCTTCTTGGGAATAAAGATACAGAGTAGATTTGTTAGTAGAGACTCTGAAAGCATCACCTTACATATGAAAAAAAGGTAAAGACTTTTTAAAAAAACAAAACAAAACAAAACCCTCCCAGTTCATTCTTCCCTTGGGAGTTCTGTGCCTGTGCCTGACAGAAATATGCTGGTGGGTGAAGGGAGAGGCTATTTCTCTCCAGTAAAAAGGTGCTGACATCAGAAGAAAAGCCTTGTCTTCTGACCTTGGGATAGAGAAATTTCTAAATACAAAGAGAAGTAGCCATTTTGTGATTTGCCCACAAGAGACCCAGAAGAGAAGGCATTTGAAAATAAATATGCTACCTTTGAAGAAAAAGCTGGCTTCAAATCCTAATAGTAAATAACAAATCAGGATAGGTGTTGAGTCAATTGGGACATTTGAACCTACTTAATTGAATTCAGCAAAAAATGAAAAAAAAGTTACTGACAGGTTAGCATAAGTGACTTGGAAAAGGAATGATTCTCATGGAGTTCTGAGTAGCAACTCTGAAAAAAAAACCCAGCATTAGTAGAAGCCAGTATAAAGTGAGTCATTCAATATTACTTGACACCTCCCAGGCTTGAGACCTCAAAGAAATTGGCCTTGGAGCCAGTTTGGCAAACATGGAGCCTTCTCCTTTTGCCCCAAGTGGCAGACTCTTAAGTACATCACAGGAAATATTTCTCTATCCTAGCAAACCTATCTTGAGACTTCCATGTTTATAAAGTAAGAGAAGACCAGCTAATACGAGATATTTTAAAAAAAACTTATAAATGTAAAATTGGTTTCCAGTAGGAAACCAGGATATTTGACATTGAAGAGCAGATTCGGTTCTGTGGTATTTACCCTTCTGGTGGTGAAACAGTACCGTATATATACATACATACATAAATACATGCATATGTGTGTATACACACACACACACACACACACACACACACACACACATATACGTATGTATGTATACAGAGGCATTTTTTAGGGGGAGAAGCAGTTGCCCCTTGGGGGCCGCCCCTGGGAGATTTCCCCCTCCTCAGTAGAATGTAATCTTCTTGAAGGCAAGGATTTTTTGGGGGGCGGGGGGTGATCTTTGTATGTCTAGTGCCAAGCTTAGTACCTTGCATAGAGTAGCTATGTTTGCTGAAGTTGTGAAGGCTGTTAAGGGAGATGCTGAGCAGAGGGTCTTCAGTTGCCTTGTCCCCTAGCCATCTCCAGTCATCCCAACGTGCATCTGGCCACTGGACCCAGATGACTCTGAAGGAGAAAGTGAGGCTGGTGACTTTGCACAGCCCTCCCTCACTTAAAACCAATTCACTTGCATGTCATGGCATCACCCCCATGATGTCATTGTCCTCTTCGAGAACAAAGAATAAACAATAACAGCAACAACAGCAACTATGAACTCGATATCCTAGAAGTGTTGTTAGGGACCTTCTTGTTTTGAATCATTGGTGGGAGGGTGCATTCCTGTGCCATTCTCCCTGATTGGTTGGGATATGGATTTGTGTCAGGTCTGAGAGCAACCACACAGCAACTAGTTAAAACTGGTTCAGCCAGCCAGTAAAAGGAAGGTGTGTTTTCCCCCACAGTAAACATTTTTATAGACCTGGTAAATCTTCCTCTAACCTTTTACTATAAAATTCCTGCATATAGCCTCAGGGAGAAAATAATTTAGTATCTTTCCCAAATTAGAGGAATTAAGGCTAACCTTCAACTGGGATCATGGAGGTCAGCATAGGGATTCAATTCAATTCAATTCTGTTTGATACAATTCAATTCATTTTCATTCATTTCAACCAACATTTCTTAAGTGCCTACTATGTGCAAAGCACTGTGCTAGATGCTGGGAATACAATGAAAAAATAAAAAAAATAATGGCTGTTCTCTGAGAGCTTACATTTCTTTGGACTATTATGAATATCAGCTCAAATAAAAATGAAATAAATATCAGCTCAAGCATTTTTATCTCTCCAGCTTATGATATTAAATGGAAAATCCTTTGACAAATCTAGAGTGAACACCTGGTTTCTAAATTTGAAGCCAGTATTATTGATTATTGCATAATTATTCACCCTGCAGACTTTCAGATGGACATTTGAGGGCTCACTGAAAATGATAATTTTCTCCTAATGTTTGTTTCAACCCCTAGTCTTGCTGAAAATCAGGCTGATGTTGTTGGAATGGTGAGGTTTAGGGGACAAGGTACGTAGGATTCAGTGAGTATTTCTTCAATTACTTGGCCAACCTCTTGAGGCCTTGTATGCTCTCTCTTGGGAGAAGCTTCCCCTATATTCATAAAACATGACAAAGACTGAAAGCCAAATAACAAACAAAAAGAAATGTCAGTGAAAGGAAAGCAACAAAGTCCTCTCTGGGCTCCAGATTTTTCATTTGTAAAAGGAGGGTTTTGGACTAGATGACCTAAAAGAACCTTTCCAGCTTGAAATCTATGATCTTTTTAAAAAAAAAAAAAAGAAAAGAAAAAAGCACCCTCTGGCAAGGGCATCTAGACCTCTATCATAAATAGAAATTAATTACTGACATCCAGACCCAGTTCCCAAATCTTGTTTTAGCCAAAAGGAACTTTCTCAATGACCCAACCATTCTCTAGAGTCACTAGCATGGAATAGCTTTAGCAACATCTGTTTCTACTTCCTTCTGACTCTTTGGTGGAGGGGTTTTGTAACATGCTATGAAATGGCAGGATTAATTAAAAAGAAAACTAGAGGCTCAAAGAAGGCTATTAAGCCAAAACAGTTATTTGGGGTCATGTAGATCTCATGGGATTTGCCAAATTCACCTTATTCTTTATTTGGTTTCTAACTTGAATTTTGTCACATTGGCTTGTGTGTATAGATACTTCTTGGGTATTTACTCTAGAGGCAGGGTGAGTCTAGGTAGCAGACCAGATAATTTGTTGAGATGGTGGGGTGGAGAAGAGAAGCAATTGGGAAAAGTTAAAAAGAAAAAAAAAGTGGGCGTATTGGTATGGTCTAAATGGCACTGAGTCTTAAGGACTTTTGGTAGACTCTGTTGGAAGGATCTAAGCTGGAAGTAGGGGAAGGGAAAATGATCTCTTCCAATACATGGGAACATTATCTTCTCCACAAGGGCAGCCTCTGAAGACTCAGAACATTTGCCCATTGTTCAGGGTGAATGGGAAGGCAGGAAAATGTCTACCTTGTCTACTGCACTGTACTATACCGAATAAATTTTTTTTATTCAATGTTTTTAATCTCTAGGTGCTGTATATTTTTAAATTTCTGAATTTTCTGTACCAGCAAATAAAGGAAACAGAAATACTGTCCACCAATTACCAGCCATGGTGCTAAAGTAGAGAAAATTTAAATGAAGCCATCATAGGGGCTTAGATTTAGAGCTTAAGAGACCTTAGAAGCCACTGAGTCCAACCCTCTCAATTACAGATAAGAAAAATGGAGGTGAAGTGGTTGGCCCATGGTTATACAGTGTCTGAGACAGAGTCTGAATTCAGGTCTTCTTGACTCCAAGCCCAGCATCCCAGCCACTGTGATAGTGTTGTAAGTCTCAATGGGAATCAGAACCAGAAATCTATCACTCCCACCAAACCATGGGCTCCCTGTGCCAAGCATAATTTTGACTTGGTTCCATAACTTTTCTAATTGGGGAAAAAAGAATGAAAAAGGCCACATGGGTCTTTGGTAAGCACCCACCAGGCCCTTCACTTTAAATCATCCCTGTCATTTTGCAGCATTTTTTCCCAACTGTTCATCCATGAAAATATGAATTTAGCATACCATAAGATATAATACCTAGTAGGGATTCATGAATTGCACCCAAAGCAATCAGGTCTTATTATCTTCCCATGGTAGTAACAGCTTTCTGATTTCAGTAGTTAAATGCAAATAATTCAAAATGCAGGGGTATCACTATTAATAAGTGCCTTAAGGTTATAATATCTCCATACTAAACATTTTAGGGTACCTGCTTCACCTGTTTTTTTTTTGAGCTGTGAAAATTTCTAAAGTTAATTAAGTATTCATAGCAATGTGAAAAAGTCCAGTTTAAGGCATTATACACTACAGACACTGAATTGTGAAAATAAAAGGGATTCTTATGTTCTGAATCTTGAATATAAACATAAACTTGTTCCCATAACTTCCTTTGGCTTACAAAGATCAAACTTACATGCGAATTCCCTGGTGTCTAATAATGTTACACTCTGGAAAACCTGGTGTGACAGCAGGCTATTTCAAGCCACAGCTGCTTCCATTAGCTGTTTGTTTATAGCAATAAACCATCCTTAACAATGATGACGAGACTTGGTATGGAAAATGAAACCATTTGAATCCTTTTGAAATATACCCTCAGATTGACATACCTTTGTCACTAAAAGCTAAGATCAAGAAATAAATTCTGTAGGATGTTCACGATCAAATGATCTCTGCACAACAAAGAACCAATGTGGCATAATGAGCAGCCAGATTTAGAACCTACAAGACATGGGTTTAAATCCTTCATCTAGCTTTGTGATTCAGGGTCTGCCACTTAACTTCTCAGTATTCTAGGTTATCTCTTTAAGACTTTAAATTTCACAGAAGCTTCCTACCCATATTGGTAAAGAGAGTTTCTCTCTCTAGGACATTCTCTATACCAATAACATCAAAGCACAACCCCTACTCCACATGATATGGAATTTTCATGGAATTTTGGTTTGTAAAGACTGCTAAAGATTGGCTGTATAGTAACTCTAAGGGTGGGAATTTAAAGAGAACATCCTTATCATCTCCCACAAAATGTAAATTCAGGCCACTGACCAAATCAGCAGATGTCTACAGAAAATTAGCTGATTTCCTCTTAAAAGGTGTTCTACCATGGAGCAAAGGTTTCAAAGATTAGAGTTAGACTTTAGGCTAAAGCTCTGTAAATTGATGATGCTTGGGATGCAGGTGAGGGATAAAAATAGCCCAAATCCTATCACAAATTATAGGAATGTCCATCAGGAATGGCTGCATCTCTTGTAATGGATTTAGGAAAGAGAAGGAAGGAGGAGAAATCTGGCTTCACCTACAAAGAAAAAAATCTTAGCCAATCCAGAGCTCACTCCTTTGTTGAGGTGGTCTGAGACTAGCCAGCCCAAAGTGATCAAATTAGAGGCTGGAGCCTCCATCTTGTCCTCAGAGGTGAGGACATTTTACTCTGATAGAAGAATGGTCCTCTAAACTCACTTATGGAGATGATGAAGTGTCAATATATTTGTGGAAACAGTCCTCTTTTCATGAGGCTGGCTATCTGATAGAATATAAGCTTCTCAAGGGTAAGATTTCTCTTCTTGTTTTTGTATTCCCAATGCCTGGTATAGTGCCTGGCACATATGTAAGGTATTTTAGAAATGCTTGATTGATTGATTGGCCAGATAAAAGCTAAGCTCTCTGTTCTAATCTGAGTTGGCCGTGCTTCAAAGAGTCAGTCTGTCATTAACAAGCATTAATTAATCACTTACTACGTGCCAAACACTGTGCTGCTAACTGCTGAGGATAGAAAGAAAGGAATAAAACATAGAGTGCTTTGAAAGTTGGCACTTCTTTTAGTCTTTAGTGCCTCAGTGGCACCTTGTTATAAGGCTGGAAGCTTTTTGGATATGCAACAGAATGTCAAAGTTCTTTGGAGACCTCAGAAATTATTTTGTACGAAGCTACCTGAACAAGAATGAATACTCATTCAATTTCCTCATGAAGACCTTTAGTGAAAGTGAACCCACTCCCTGCCCAGGCAGCCCACGAGAAATTATACTGCTTAGCAAATGCCTTGTCCAAAGAAGATGTTTCTAGAAGGGAGGCAAAAGTCCACTCCGGTTTGATCAGCAAGAATGAGTGTAAATGTCCCCTCACACCATCTGTTATCTGTTAAGACACCAAGGTCAAGATTCTAGGAGAGTGTCAATTTGTTAGAAAAATTAATTGGTGCAAAGGCAGAAAGTTTGGTCAGATTTCCACCAATCCCTTTTTAAAAAAACTTTAAGTAAATAACAATATAGTGTTAATGGAGATATTTCAGTCATTCCTGGTAAATGATGACTTCTAGATTAGTCAGAAATCAATCTCTGAGAAAAGTACATTTGACCCATTGGGTCAGAGGCTCCCAATAATCCACGTCAGAGCTCAATGTGTCTGGTTGAAAGGTGGCAGTTATTTCTATGATCACTGCTTGTGGCAGCAAGTCTTAGCAAGGACCACACCCTAGGTTCTCATAACCAGGTTATTTTCTCCTTAATCCTGCTCTGCCCCTCAACCAATCTCAAACTCCTCAGTCAGTACCCCTTCCTGTGTGCTGATTACAAACACCATCAGCAATGTTCTCCTTTCCCATCTTCCCTCCTCCTGTCTAAGTAATTTCTAGACCTCAGAACCTAAAAAAGATGTTCTTCCCTACCAAAAGAATGAAGATCCCTTCGGTAGTTAATGTATAAACTTATTTACCAAAGCATCTGCCAGCACTGTTACTCCTCTAGGCAAGGATTTCAGCCTTGTTGATATACAGGTGATATATAGGCACCAAAATGTGCCCAATGCCTAGCTAATTGGGTCATTTTGATAGAGTTCTTCAGGAACCAATAAGCAACTGCTTAAAGAGGGGCAGAACTGATACATGCTTGTGCTGTCATTGACATGGTACCCATCTGTATGACCCAATCTTCCTGAGAAATTCCACTGAGTACATTATAGATTATCAAGTGGTAAAGAGAAACCTCAGGCAGATTGTGCTTAGTAAGTAGCGTGGGACAATGCTACAAGGCTATTTGCTTTAACTTTGTGCTGATCCAATGTCACTTAAGATTGAAGTATTTTCATAAAAGTGTGAGAGGAAGAATGGATGAACATGGCTAAAGAATGGCCAATTTTCTAGTAATGAATCTGTTTATATCGAGTCAGGACGGTCCTTAGGCATCAGATGAAGCCAATGGCTGAGACCATATTTGCATCTATTCCAACTTGGTAGCTTTCAATAGGCCAGGGTCACCTTCATACTCCAATACCCTGATGGAGTATCCAATTGACAAATATTCATCTAACTTTTGGTACCAATAATATGAAACCTTCACCTAATAACCAATGAAATAACAGATGGATAAACTTCATTATAATTTGTATCAATGGAGGAAGTACCCCACAGTAATGCAATTATGCATTCACTGAAATAAAATAATAATGAATGACACAACTCTCTAAAATTCTCAAAGCAGTTTACATATATGATCTCATTTGAATTAATGAAGAAAATGTGTTTGTTGTCATATTGGCCAATTAACGCATCAGTAAAGCTACTATGAGCCATTTTTCTTGAAGCAAAATAGGCAGAATAAAAATGAGTGTATTGTGTTTTACAATAAAAACAAATTTTATGGTTTTCACTGGTCAATTAGGGCATAAAGTAACCGACATTCTGTGTTGAAGGTACCACAGCTAAGTCAGCCACAGAGAAAACACTGAGCCACTTACTACTTGTGTGACCATGAATAACAACTTTTATGGGCCTCAATTTTCTCATCTACTAATTGACAGGAGTTGGTCTAGGTGATTTCTAAGGTCTCTTGGATCTCTGTGATTCTAGTCTAAATCTCAGTATGATTTCTGATCCCTGTTTTCTACACAGAATATGTAAATGGCTTAGAAGTCCTGAGTCCTGTGTTCAAATCTGTTCTGCTGTTCTGACTTGAGGAAAGCCATTTAACTTCTCTAGGTCTCATTTTACACACATGTAAAGATGTGATTAATGGAGATGAATCCAAATGATCTCTAAAGTTGATTCTATTCCCAATGGATATTTTGCAGACAATTACCTGAAGGGAATACAAATTGGGTCCTTTTTTGAGGACAATGGAATTAGCAGCAAACTGTTCTTTATTTAATATGACTCAGTAAAATTCTATTTGGAAGCCTTAATTTTTTTTTCTAGTTTCTTTATAAATTAAGGTATCCACGGTATAGGAAAAGAGATAGATGCCCTTCCTTTCCCTCTGTATTATATTTAAGGAGAAACAACATGATATACAGGATAGAGGGCTGGCCTTGGAAACAGTAAGACCTGTTTTCAGGTCCTGCTTCTGACACATACTAGCTATGCGAAACAAGGCATCACTAACCTTCTCAGGGTTCCTACACAGCTGAAGATTAGTTACAGAGAGGTTGCTGACTGGCCTCAGTGGAAGGAGTTTCTGTTGTGGGAGGTCCATACATGAATGAAATCAGAATTCCTCCAAAAGTTAATGAATGTTAATGAATTGTGTCATATTAATGCAGGGGGTTAGACTTCACTAAGCTTGCTCTCCATTCCAGGAATTTTTGAGAGCTAGTGAAATTATCAAGAAAATGAAATCATTATTTTGAAAAATGGGTGCAGATTTCAGGGCAGGTGCTAGAACACAAACGGGCAGTGATTCTAGAACTAACTGAACTATATTCTCTGTTTATAAAAGAAAAGGAGCGTGAAATCTTCTATAGTCTCTCCCTGCACAGGCCCAATTGTGGTTCTGAAGTAAGAATAGCAGATAGATATGTATTCTAGAAGAAAGTAGCGGTACCATTTATATAGTGTAAAGTCATGCAAAGCATGCTCAAAATGAAGCGGCTTCCTTGTGGTGTCTTGGGAAAAAAAATGTAGCTGTAAATCCCCGTGGAATGGTGCAGTGACTAATACTAACACATGCATTGAATGCAGCCATTGGTGTTCCAACTAGTAAGCTTTGGGTGTAAGAGTAAGTGAGCTATACAAAGTTTGTCTACATTACAAGGAGAGGCCATCCAGTGACCCCTCCTCCCCCTTTAAACTGGCTTGTTGGAAGGAGTCCATATGGAATCTGAAATCCCATCCCCTGTAGAAGACAAAGGCATAGAACCACTCGGGGTAAAGGGGTCTGTGTCCGTGTCGGTCTCTCCCTCGGCCAGGTAACGCTTCTCTCTCATCCAACTCGAGCCCCCATTTGGGCCAAAAAGGTAATCGTCTCTGTCCTGGGAGATGCTGAAGCCGCTGGGTGAGCGTTCTAGTTCTTCATGGTTGACAGAGAGAAGGGAGAGTGGTGTATCACTGTCCCTGGTGAAGCTCCGTCTCTGCCGGGGTGAGATTCGTTCCTGGTAGGGGCTGTGTAGCTCAGCTTGGGAGTGGTAGCTCACCCGAGAGTCTAGGAGAGTGAGGATAGGCAAGACGGTGGGTCTTTCTGCATAGGGGACCGAGGAGGGGAGAGTCCTCGGGAGTTTCTCCCTCTCTGATGGCGGTCCTCCTCCACCTCGAGGCAAGCTCACTGGGTCATGTGCAAAGAAAGCATAGGGGCTGACTTTGTTGACTGGGACCTGGTGGAAGCTGTAGGGGGTTTCATGGGTGCAGGGTTCAGAATAGTTGTAGATAATGGTTTTCAATTCAGAATACTTGTTCTCCTCTTTCTTTTCGACCTCTGCTGGGGTAGCAGTGGCCTTTTTGGTTGGGTAGTATTCTGTAACTTGTACTTGGAGCTGTTCCATGTGCTGCATGTGCATATCAACAAGAAAATCCAGTTTCTTCCCCATGTCATGAACCTGGGGAAAAAAATGGAGAGAAATGTATTGGCTCATTCTTGATACAAATTTTCATTTTATTGCTTAAGGCAAAAGAGGTACCATGGGGCAGTCATTTAAACCTCATTGAGCTTCACTTTTCTTATTTGTAAAATGGGGATGATAATATACACAATACATATATGCTCTAGAGTTAGTTGTGAAGGTCAAATGAGATAAAGTATGTAACATGCTTTATCAACTTTAAAACGTTATATAAATGCTAGTTGTTATTCATTCTAACACTTAGCCAGCACTCAATAATGATAAAAATTGTTATGTTTACAATATATTGCACTTTAAATTTATAAACTATGTTTTTGCTAACAACCTAGTGCACCATTATTTTATTTATTTTTAAATAATTATTAGCAATATTTTTTATTTTTCCAAATTTCATGTAAAAACAATTTTAAACTATTTTTTAAGTTTGAATTTCAAATTCTTTCCCTTCCCAAGATGGCAAACTATTTGAGACAGGTTATAGATATGCAATCATGCAAAACATATTTCCATATTAGTCATGTTTTGAAAAAAAACAAAAAATTAAGAAAGTGGAAAATAATATGCTTTGATCTGTATGCAGACTCAATAAATTCTTTCTCTGGAAGTGGATAACATTTTTCATCATGAGTCCTTTGGAATTGTCCTGGATCACTATTGCTGAGAATAGCTAAGACATTCACAGTTGATCATTGCACAATACTGCTGTTACTGTACACAATGTTCTCCCTGGTTCTGCTCACTTTACTTTGCATCAGTTCATGTAAATCTTTCTAAGTTTTTTCTGAAATCATCCTGCTCATCATTTCTTATACTACTATAGCATTCCATTACTATCATATACCACAGCTAGTTCAGCCATGTCCCAATTGATGAGTATCCCCTTAGTTTCCAAATTCTTTGCCACCACAAAAAGAACTGCTATAAATATTTTTTGTACATAAAGATCCTTTTTTCCCCCTTTAATCTCTTTAGGATATAGACCTAGTAGTGGTATTACTGAGTCAAAGGATATGAACACTTTTATAGCCATTTGGTCATAGTTCCAAATTGCCCTTCAGAATGATTGGATCATTTCACAACTCTATCAACAATGCATTGGTGTCCCAGTTTTCCCACATTTTTCCCAACAACATTTATCACTTTCCTTTCTGTCATATTAGCCAATCTGAGAGGTGTAGGTGGTACCTGAGAGTTATTTTAATTTGCATTTCTCTAACCGATAGTGATTTAGAGCATTTTTTCATGTGACTACAGATAGCTTTGTTTTCTTTCTTCAAAAACTTCCTGCTCATATCCTTTGATCATCTGTTAACTGGGGAATGACTCATGTTCTTATAAATTTGACTCAGTTTTCTATATAATTGAGAAATAAGGTTTTTATCAAAGATATTTACTTTAAATTTTTCTCCTCAGCTTTCTGTTTTTCTTCTAATCTTGGCTGCATTGGTTTTGTTTATATAAAAACTTTTAAAAATTAATATAATTAAAATTACCCATGTTATATCTCATAATGCACTCTTATCTCTTATTTGGTCAGAAATTCTGCCTTTATCCATATATCTGACAGGTACACTATTTTATGCTCCCTTAGCTTATCCATGGTATTTTAGTGTAGTATTATTAACTTCATTTTACAAATAAAGAAATAATCTCCTAGAGGTCAAAACAGAGGGAACTAATGCAAAGAGTAATTTTGAAGTAAGATGACCTATGTACAAATTCCTATTCTGCTACTTTCTAGCTGTGTGACCTAGAGAAAGTCACTTCTCTTCTATGAACTCAGTTTGCCAATTTATAAAATGTTTTAGTTGGATAAGAGGATCCTTAAGGTCCCGTTAAACCCTAAATTATACAGTTCTAGGTCACATAGCCAGAAAGTAAGGAAGCTAGGATTGAACCCAAACAGTCCCTTGCTTTGACCATCTGGTTTTAATCTCAAAGAAATATCCCTTCACCTGCAGTTTGAGGGTAATGATCATTCTTTTTTTAATGACTATATCTCAGTTCTCACTTATTTAGTGAAAACCTGTCATGTAGTCAGTGACTAGACAGAGCATACTCAGGCATATCTAATGCTTAGATGGAATATTGCTTCCATGTGGTTATATCCCTTCAGAAAAGGAACTTTGGGTGAGTGGGCACATCTACCACAAAGACGAACATTCTCCTTCTCTGAAACTCTTTCCTCCCTTTGGAATAATAACCTTGTGTTTGTAATATGGTTACCTAAGTCAGAGACTAACGTTAGATCTCATTTCTAACCCAATCTGAGCTGTCTAGCGAAGTTCTTCCCATATCACTGTGCTTTTAAGTTATAGATACAGGTAGGGATAGCTTTGGGAGCTAGTAGAATTCAGCCTGGTTACATGGGTGGTATTGACTCAATATGAGTCTACAGTGTGATATAGCAGTGAAAAATGCAATCTTAGGCTGCATATTAAGAGGCATAGTGTCCAGGACCAGGGGCATGATAGACAGGCCCACTGAACTTCGCCATGGTAAGGCCACATGCGGGCCATTATGATCAGGTGTGGTTACTACACTGTAGGAGGAGCATTCATAATCTGGAGAATGTCCAAAGAAAGGCAACCGGGATAGTCAGAAGTCTTGGAATATAATGGAACAAACATTTATCTAGTACCTGCTATGTGACAGACACTGTGCTAAGTGCTTTTTATAATCATCGCTCATTTGATCCTCACAACAATCTCGCGAGATAGATCATTATTATCTATTAGCTATAATTACCTTCATTTTATAGTTGAGGAAACTGAAGGTAACAAAGATGAAGTGACTTGCCCAGGGTCACACAGCTAGTAACTGCCTGAGCCCAGGTTTGAACTCAGGTCTTCCTGACTCTAGGCCCAACACTCTATCCGCTCACGACATATGAGGATGAGTTAAAGGAATAGATGGGAATGTTCAGCCTGGTCTAGAGAAAACTCAAGGGAAGCCTGATAATTGTCTTAAGTATCTAAAGGACTATCAAGCCAAAGAGAGATTCCATTGAGTCTGCCTGGTTCCACAGCACAGAACGAGGCAAATGGGTGGGAATTACAGAGGGGCATATTTTAGTGCCCCTCGACAGTTTTTACTTGATTAATGTCTGTTATGACAATATTGGCTAGGTATGGCAGAGTCGTGGTAGCCTCAGATGTATTGGGTCATTACTTGACACAGTTAATATTGTGGCTGGTTTCCCCCAAGTGCCTTCCCGAAGAATTTCCATGCAAAGTCTATCTCCATCAGGGCCTGTATTATTAATCAAAAATGTTAAAAAGAGGAGAAGAAAGGTCTTGGGAGGAAGTATGATTTTCTAAATGTGTAAAGAATTGACATACAGAGGCAGGAAATTTCATGAGTATAGAAAAACTGTGCTAATTGTTATATACCTTTTTAATGAAATTTTATTATTTTGCAGTTAAGAGAGATAGTAAGGTTCAGAAAGACCTGAGTTCTGGTCTGGCTGTGTGACCCTGGGACTGCCGCTTAACCTCTAAATCTGTTACAGAATGATTGATGATTAGTACTAAGAAATGGAATTTCCTAACTGAAAGTTCCATATACCAGTGAAATTATCTGTTCAAACAAAATAAAATTAAAAAAAAAACAGCTAAGTATGATTTACATGGGCTTATCTTAATGAGCATGTGTTTAAATTAGAACATTTTCATTTTAATAAAAAAGGGTAGTGTTAAGCTGTATTTTAGTCCTTGGAAACAGTTGAATTTTTAAGTTATGTTAAACATTTATTTTATATTTTCTTTCAAGTTCTCTCCCCTACTCTTTTTCGAAAGTGTAACCTGGGCTGGCCTTTCAAGTATGCCCAGGTTACACAGATAAATTATAAGAAGGGGAATTCAACTTAATGAGTCTTATTCAAATTTTCTCAATTTCTAAATAAGTAGGGTCAGACTCAGATGGTTTATGTATTCAAATATATCTTATCCTCTCACTGCGGGGCACCTGACTTTTTAACTTTGCTTAGTTATGTATTTTTTATTTTGTGGACCTGATTGAAGACATGAAGAGCAGTTTAGTGTAGGTGATATAGCAGTGGACTCAAAGTCCAGAAGATTCAGTTCAAATCTTTCCTCAGAAACTTAATATTTGTGTTGTTGCTCAGTTGTTTCAGGCATGTTAGACTCTTTTCGACCAATTTGGGATCTTCTTGGTAAAAATAGTGGAATGGTTTGCCATTTTCTTTTCTAGCTTATTTTACAGATGAGGGAACTAAGGCAAATAGGTTTAAGTGACTTTCCCAGGGTCACAAAGCTAATAAGAGTCTCAGGCTACATTTGATCTCAGGTCTTCCTGACTCCATGCCTGGTGCTCTATCCACTGTGCCACCTAGCTGCCCTTAATATCCATGTGTCCATGGGCAAGTCAGTTAACCTGTTTCAGCCTCACTTACCTCATCTATAAAGTTGGACTCAGATCGCTGCTAAGTTTCTTTTCAACTCTATATCTATGATCTTATGATTCCTATATCCAGTGGAATAACATTATGTTCAGAAGATAAGATTATATGAGACGATGATATAGAAACATTTCTTCAATGCCATAAATTGCATTCAGAACCCACCTGTCTTTCGACCTTGACGAATTTCCCCATCATGCTTTGGTCTTCAATTTCTGACGAGGATGCTTTGGCTACATACGGATCATTTCTAGGAAAGAATCAAGAGTCCCATGAGAGCATTGCATCCTAGTCCATTCTGCAATGTTATTTATCTCTTTGGTAGCTCAGGAGACCTAATGTCTTCATACCCATTCCTGCAGTTATATGGATAGATGATTTCACTAAGATACTCATGAGACTCAATAGTTCAATTTGAGTTAGGAAAAAATTTACATTCTCCTCTCCTCAATTTGACTTCGAAACTAGTGGATAGAAATTCTGTGCTTTACTGAGAGACAGTGACAACTGGAGCCAAAGTGGATAACAAATGAACTTCTCTCTCTCTCTCTCTCTCTCTCTCTCTCTCTCTCTCTCTCTCTCTCTCTCTCTCTCTCTCTGTCTCTCTCTCTCTGTCTCTCTCTCTCTGTCTCTCTGTATTGGTGTGTGTATTATCTGTGGCACAATTTTAGGTCATATGGTGGGAAAAGTTTGTGATTTAGACTCTGAGGATCCAACTTTGGTAATTCTGATTCTGCTAATCCTATGATTCTAGAGATATCTTAAGGACAATTCAAAAACATTAGCTATTCAAAAACACGGTGGTAACTGGTGGTGCAGTGGATAGAGTACTGCACCTTGATTTAAGAGACCTGAGTTCAAATCTGGCCTCAAATAAGTATCTCAAATAAGATACTCATTAGCTGTGTGACTTAGATAACCTCTGTTTTCCTCAGGTTCTTCAACTGTAAAATGGTTATAAAAATATAGGGCTGCTGTGAGAATCAAATGTGATAATATTTCAAAGTGCTTAGCCCAGCATCTGGCACATAGTGCCATGATTTTAACTTACATTTCCATAGTGTTTCAGGGTTTAACTTTTTCTTCCCCCTTCAGGAGGTAGCCAGCCTAGGTGATGTGATGATCATTTTCAAAATGAGAAAAATAACGTTAGAAAGAATGAAGTGACGTGCCCAGCCAGGATGCAAACTTAGGTCCACACTTAGACCAGGGTTCGTGTCACCAAACATTGCTACCTATCATATATTACACTTCAAGAAAATATGCTATATGAACGTCTTCATTTTTTCCAAATGAAAAATCACTTTGCAAAAGGAATTGCCGTAAGATTTCTTTAAATGCAAACTACCCTTTTGCACTGAAGAAAGGATTTCCACTTACAAGGACCCAGGTATTACATAAAATTCTCTATATGAGTTCCTTGCTTCTATTCATTCTCCTTATCACTTCTGGGAAACAGTGAATCTCCACACCCTAAGTGAATAAAGTTGAAACTCAGGGTTGCTCATGGAGTAGTGACTCTGGTGATTCTGGGTCAAGCCATTCCTAGCAGCAAACCTTGGAGACTGCTGGGAAGGATAGGTGAAAGCTCCGCCTCGTTGGGATTTCTTGTGTTTTGGAGTAGACGGAGGTCCAGGGGTGAAGATCATATCTACTCTGAAAGAGAGAAAAAGAGGAAAAAATAAGAAACACTATTCCAAAGAACTTACTTGAGACAGTGGACCACTGACTACACAAAATAAGGCAAGGATTGTGGATTTACATACAAGAATATTTATAACCCCAATACATCATCTGTTTAGGCTAGGCAAAAATAGCTTCTTATTATTATGGAGAACATTGCGGGCAGAGTCAGAGACAGGGAGATAGATGCATCTTATTATTTCTCTTAGCAACTTTAATATATTAAGCTTTAAGCCTAGCTCATCTTTGGCTTTTCTTCTCTCTAAGACATCTAGTTAGGGAGATTTTTACTGCCAACTCTAAAAGACCTGTTTTTAGCGGCATGAATCTTTTTTAGCTCCCTAGACTTTTGCTGGTCATTAGAATGATGGATCTGACAATATTCTGCTGGCATAATGCTTTCATTTCCTGCAACCCGCACCATTTCGTGATCCCCATTCAGTGGAGCAGAAATGAAACCTCTTCTACCTCTGCTCCATAATTCTGTGTGGGCAGTAGGCTGGGAGTCCATGCTGTCCTCAGCCTCACTAAGATGGTGCACAGGGAAATGGTCTCTCAGTCTATAATTGTCTGTGCAATGGCCTCCTTTTGTCCCTTTCCAAAAAATAAAGCAGATTTGCAATGCGATAAATACAGAAGAATGTAAGATCTTCTTGAGGCTAGGAACTATTTCTTAGTATCTCCAGATTCTAATGTGATGCTTTGCACTTAGTAGGCAACTAACAAATATTTATGCAATTGAAATCATGCATTTTCCAAACTTTGCTTAGGTTTGGCCTAAGAAAACCTATAAAATTCAGTAGAGTGATAATCGGGCACCAGTGTATCCCTCCCCTCCCAACACCTTGTTCACATAGAAACACTTCTATCCATTAATATTAAAGGCAGCAGAGGTGTAACATTTGACTCTAAAATCATTGTATTTGACTGGTATTGAATGAAACTTTAAGGATCTATCTTGCTTTATTGAATTGGGTGCCTTTTTAAAAAATAGTCAACAAATAATAAACACAGGAGGATGTCGAATTTCCTACATGTTTTAGTCAATTTTTTGAAGGTAAAGATGTGTTCTATTCTGGAATGCATTTGCCTCACCATGGTTGCCTTCCAAGTGTGACTAGATCATTGCCATGGAAATTTTATACAGGTGGGGAAGTAGGCATACACATTTGGAATTATTGATAATAATTGGTTGCCTTTTGGGGGGGGCAGGGAGGATGTCAGGCAGAGGTGTCAAACACATGGTCAGTGGGCTGAATGAGGCCCACAAAATTCTTCAGGGTGGCTGAAGTAGATTAAATGTCTAGTTCCTATGTGATTTTAATGGGCTGATGTATTTACCAAAAAAAAAAAGATGTATAAACATGTATGGTTTTCTACGTCAATATGCAGCCCACAGGGAGCCTTGTGTATGGGTCAGTCAGTGGCACCATTTCTTTTTGAGATTGACACCCCTGGTGTAATGGACAGACATTTTGAAACCGAGAAGACCTGGGTAAAAGTCTTGCCTCTAACATTTACTGGCTTCATGACTCTGGACAAATTATTTAATATCTCAGTGCTCTAGGGAACTCTCTAAGACTACAAATTACAGAGAAAGTTGAAGACTCATTAGTAGAGGGACTTTCCTCCCCTGAGAGTTTCCTATACCATTGAAATTACAGGTCCATTTCTTACTCCTTTAACTCTTTGGGGGGATAATAATGAGGGTTAAGATTTGCTCCACACCCTTGCTATCTTTCCCTCCTTACACTGACAGTTGAACCCCATTACAGCAGAAGTCGCTCCTTGAGGGATGATTGGTTTTTGCTCTTTCTTACTATGCCCAGGATTTAGCATAGCATCTAGAGAATTAAAGTGCTTAATCAATGCCTATGGATTGATCGATTGATTGATCCCTCAGTGCTTTCAAAATTGTGCTGCCTCTATCACGGACCTTCTATGGGTACTTTTGATCTTGTTCAGAATATCATTGAAGAAATATATGAGCAAAAATAAGGGCTTGTCATTTGTAAACAATAATAATATTGACATGCAGTCTGGCTTAATACATGGAGCATTGGATATGGAGTCAGGAAGGCTTAAGTTCTAGTCCTTCCTTACTAATTGTATGACCCCAAATAAGTCACTTAACATCTCCTAGGCTTAGTTTGCTCATCTATAAAATGGGAATAATAACAGCACCAACCTCTCAGGCTTTTTGTGAGGCTCAAATGAGATTTGCTCTTTGCAAACTTTAAAATTTCACAAATGTTGGCTATCTCATATGATATCTCATTGGCAAGAGTGAAGGATAAACATTGGAAAGCCCAGCTGCTTAACCGGTATCTTCTTCTTTTTATAATTTAATATTTTATTTTCCCCAATTACACATCAAGACAATTTTTTACATTCTTTTTTCTTTTTTTTTTTATTAATTTATCTATTTTTAGTCCTCAGCATTCACTTCCACAAGATTTTGAATCCCAAATTCCCTCCCCATCTTATCCCTACCCTTACCCCAAGATGGCATGCATTCTGAATACCCCTTCCCCTAATCTGCACTCCCTTCTCTATCTCTCCCCTTTTTCTCTTATCCCCTTCCCCTTCAATTTTCCTGTAGGGCAGTATAGATTTCTATACCCCATTGGCTATATATCTTATTTCTCAGTTGCATATGAAAATAATTTTTTTAACATTTGTTTCCAAACTTTGGATTCCAAATTTTCTCCCTTCCTCCCTCCCCACCCATCCTCATTGAGAAGTCAAGCAACTCAACATAAGTTATACATGTGTAGTCATGTAAAACACTTCCATAGTAGTCATGTTGTGAAAAACTAAGTATATTTCCCTTAATCTTATCCTGCCCCCATTTATTTTATTCTCTCTTTTGACCCTGTCCCTCCTTAGAAGTGCTTGCTTCTGACTATCCCCTCCCCCAATCTTCCCTCCCTTCTATCATCCCCCTGTTCTCTTGTCCCCTTCCCCCACCCCATTTTCCTGTAGGGTAAGATAGAGTTCCATACCCAATTGAGCATGTATGTTATTCCCCCTTATGCCAAATCTGATAAGAATAAGATTCACTCATTCCCTCTCACCTTCCTCCATTTCCCCTCCACTGTAAAGGCCTTTTCTTGTCTGTTTCATGTGAGATAATTCACCCCCATTCTACCTCTCCCTTTCTCCTTCTCCCAGTATAATCTTGTCTCACCCCTTAATTTTATTCTACAGATATCTCTTTCATCTTCAACTCACCCTGTGTCCTCTATTTATCTATCTATCTATATACATACATACATACATACATATAATTTTTCCCTCCAACTACCCTAATACTGAAAAAGTTCTCATTAGTTACAAATATCGTCTTTCCATGCAGGAATGTAAACAGTTCAACCTTAATAAGTCACTTATGATTTCTCTTTCCTGTTTATCTCTTCATGTTTCTCTTGGGACTTGTATTTGAAAGTCAAATTTTCTATTCAGCTCTGGTCTTTTCATTAAGAATGCTTGAAAGTCTTCTATTTCACTGAATGACCATTTTTTCCCCTGAAGGATTATACTCGGTTTTTCTGGGTAGGTGATTCTTGGTTGTAATCCTATCTCCTTTGACCTCTGGAATATTATATTCTAAGCTCTGCAGTTTCTTAATTTAGAAGCTGCTAAACCTGATTGTATTTACACAATACTTGAATTGTTTCTTTCTGGCTGCTTATAATATTTTCTCCTTGACCTGGGAACTTTGGAATTTGGCTACAATATTCCTAGGAGTTTTCCTTTGGGGATATCTTTCGGGAGGCAATTGGTGGATTCTTTCAATTTCTATTTTGCTGTCTGGTTCTAAAATATCAGGGCAGTTTTCCTTCATAATTTCTTGAAAGACGACGTCTAGGCTGTTTTTTGATCATGGCCTTCAGAAAGTCCAATAATTTTGAAATTATCTCTCCTGGATCTATTTTCCAGGTCAGTTGTTTTTCCAGTGAGACATTTCACATTGTTTTCTATTTTTTCATTCCTTTGGTTTTGTTTTACAGTGTCTTGATTTCTCATAAAGTCACTAGGTTCCAATTGCTCCATTCTATTTTCTAAGGAAGTATTTTCTTCAGTGAACTTTTGGACTTCCTTTTCCATTTGGCCAGTTTTGCTTTTTAAGGCATGCTTCTCCTCATTGGGTTTTTGGACCTCTTTTGCTGTTTGGGTTAGGCTAATTTTTTTTTTTTGACTAGGCAATGGGGTTAAGTGACTTGCCTAGGGTCGCACAGCTAGTAAGTATTATGTGTTTGAGGCTGGATTTGAACTCAGGTCCTCCTGAATTCAGGGCCAGTGCTCTATCCACTGCCCCACCTAGCTGCCCCTAGGTTAGTTTTAAGGTGTTATTTTCTTCAGTATTTTTCAGGTCTCTTTTAGCAAGCTGTTGACTTGTTTTTCATGATTTTCTTGCATCATTCTCAGTTCTGTTCCCAGTTTTTCCTCCATTTCTCTTACTTGCTTCTCAAAATCCTTTTTGAGCTCTTCCATGGCCTGAGGCTGATTCATATTTTTCTTGGAGGCTTTAGATGTAGGAGCTTTGGCTTTGTTGTCTTCTGGTTGTATGTTTTGATCTTCTTTATCACCAAAGAAAGGTTCTATAGTCTGATTTTTTTTTCAAGGTTTGTTCACGATCCCAGCTAATTACTTGAGTTATAAACTCTTTGTTAAGGTAGAGGTCTGCTTCCAGTGTGGAGAACACATTGTCCCAAGCTTCAGGGACTTTGTGCAGCTGTTTTCAGAGACTTCTAGAGAGCTGTAAATTTTCAGTTCTTCCAAGGTGGTATGATAAGGGGTGAGGTGTTTACAACTTTTCTGGCCTGTGCTCTGGTGTGTGAGTGACCACAAGCACTCTTTTCTGCCTTGGAACTCTGGGGAAGATTCCCTCTCTCTCACCATTGCAAGCTCCACCATGCCAGCACTTTTCCTTGCCCCAGGATCGTTACCTAGAACTCTGACCCAGATCC